GAATACATAGTTAATTCTAGAAGGTAATTAATACTAAGTGAGTGCAATTCTCATGGCTCTGTGTTAAAATATGACTATTTAAATCCTCCATGAATTTGCTGGTCAAGATCTGACCCTTATGTTGGTGTAATGTAATTTTTGTGTTTAACAGAATATATTACTTTCTTACTAATGGATTGTCAAGGAGATATCTTGATTAAATGTTTTCAAATAGGTGATGCAGGCGAAGCAGAGGTACTTATCCGTTATGACTAATCTGGGTTTACTTTGAATTTGCAGAAAGTAGTCCAGTTCACAGTGCTTGCCAAAGAAAGGAGAGCAATTAGTCTTACTTTCCTGTTTAATGCTATGATTCACACCATAATGTATGCTATGAGGTTAGTAATTAGTATTGCAACATATACCTAATGTATGTCATCTAGGAAGAGGTAGATCAGTAATGCAGGTAAGGTTCTTCTGAAGTTAAAGGGAAGACTGAAGAAAGAAAATGGGTGTTTCTTCTACTACATACATTTATGATAAATCAGTAGCTGTCACTGCCTGAAATTTTGGAAAGCTTGAAACATGGCTGTCCTCAAAGGCAAAGAATAAAGAGCATGAGAGACATTTTACTGTTCCATCAGAAAATAAGATGTAAAATTTCCCCTCACAGTTCTTTTTTTTTATTTGGTCATTCATAGTTGATGTGAACTGTAGATTTTATAACCTATTACATGTCAACAGTTCTGATGTTCCATTGTTTATAATATACTGAAGTTAAAGAACAATAATATTCAGCTATGACAGAACTATTCCTTAAACAGTAAAGTAAATCAGAATTAGTGGCCATTGAACACCTGTTTTCAGAAACTTCTCTCTGTCTTTACAGCTGTATCAACAGCAAGAAAATACAGTGAGTTTTATGGTCAGCTTAGAAGAATTTTTATAAGAGTTTTTATATTATGTAGTTATTAATAATTCCTATTTTATAAGATTTTTTTATATTTTTGTGGTCAGCTTAGAATTTTTATAAGAAATATTTGTATCCAGTGATACTATGCTTATTTTCTGTGTGGTTTTACTTTACGCAGATTTTTATTTACATTTCTTTCTTTGTACTATTTTATTTAACACACACCATTCATTGCTTCCTTGATTGATTTTTTTTAATAATTTTCTCTAAGTTTCAGTCACTACAGAATGCATAGAGCTTTTACAGCTATAAACTGTGCAAGCTTCTGAAAGAATTTTGTTCAAGTTTGTGTTGAATGTTACTTAATGAAAAATTGACTTTAACGCAGAAGCACGTTAAACTTAGAAAGTTACTCAGAAATAAGAAATAGTGGCAGGACAAACTACAACCCTAAGCTGCAAGTGTTTAAACCATTGACAATTTCAACTTTTGACCAATATGTGGTAATAACGGAAAATCCAGTTTTTAGAAACAGATATACTCTGTTGTATTTCTTTTAAAGGACATAAAAAAGATAGTATAATATTTGTTACATTGTGTTTGATATTGTGGGTTTGTTTTTAAGATAATTGGAAGATTTCAGCTTTTAAACCTGGTGCTTACAGAATTGGCTTTAAAAAAAAAAAATCAAAGAAAAATGTACTTGAGTCAATGAACAGCTTTCTGAAATGCAGTGCAATAACTGTAGTATTTAATATTTTACACCACACATTTAACGTAGCTTCCCTATTAATAAGGTGTGATGAGACAACTCAGACAGTATGTGTTACTCTCCTGAATCTTCTTTAGTTCATGGATATGAAGTTTCATCTGGATTCTGATGTATGCATAAGCCATTGAAGCTAGGATAAATTGTATGGCAATCCACAAACACACACAGAAACAAAAGTAAGCATTTACTCACACATCTATACTCAGGATATGGTGTTTACTTGTAATTCCTGGATGGCCAAAAAGAGGTGACTGCTAGACATATTTTTCATTGGTGGGGAATAATAAAGATGACGAAATCAAAATAATTTTCCTATGTAAATCCTCTTCATGTACATTAAGGCTTTTACGTGCCCACTTATTCTGATTTTAATCTTAGCTGTGATCCAAATAAGAGAAAACAGACAAAGAAAAAAGCACATTTGTTTCATTTAGAAAGACAGGAGTGGTACCTTTGACATCTCTAATTTGATGTCAAAAGCAGCAGAAAGGGTCATAATTTATACAAACAAATATTTTTCCAGAACTCAAGCAAAACCAAAATAAATAGCTTTATGGATAGCTTCGGGGTTTCACTCAGAGTAGCAGTTTCTGTTTCTGCTGTTCCTTCCTGCTTCTTCTGTCAGGCTGGTTTGTATTTCTCATTAGAAACTGCCCTTTAAGATCAGTGGGGAATTTCCTGCAGTTTTGCAGATGTACCTAAAATTCCTGCTTGTACTGTGGCACAATCATATGACTTAGAAGTTACAAGAAAACTTTCAATAGCAAATGTTTATAATCTACCTAAAATAAAAAGTGCTGAGTTTAATATACCTCAGTCTCTGTATACAAAGATAGCACAATGGATTGTGCCCAGATGTACTCAGAATCCCATGGTAAATACAATAGCACAATAAAGCAACTGAATGACTTAAATTCAATGAAGTAATTTAGTGGGGAGAGTGATAATAGAGGAAGTCTGTGAGACTCCAGTCTTTCAGGGATCTGCTGAAATATTGGATAGTGATTCACACCAAAAGGTGTTTTACGGAGCATGCATGTACACAGATTGTGATGAACTAATAATTCTGAAATAAATCAAGATTGTAATTTCCTTTTTCCAAATGACATGAATATGTAAAGTCTATGCTTCCTTAATTAATTGCAGTAATCTGGTAGTAAGCTTATGATCTGGTAATTAGTATTCCCAATTAATAATTACGCTAAAGCATTTTAAAGAACATTCACTTTTTAAAATTAAAATTAGAGATACATGCCTTTTCTGCAACAGTATTAAGTTGAATGCATCATTATCAAAGATTGATGAGGAATCTCTCAAGAAGGTTCAGGGAAAATCACCCACGTTAAGCAAAAGAACATTAAACAAACAGGTAACGACTGGGATTTGACTGTTTAGGCTCAGTTGTGACGAGGTGCAGGGCTCGTTTCACTGCTTGCAATACGAGAGATCCCCACACACTCCATACCACACCTAGGGTGAAGCTGGGTACGATTGTCTAGTCTACAGCTTATTTTCCCCACCAAAGGAATTTAGTTCACTCCAGAGCAGAGTGGGGATAAAATTAACATGCAAGTAGCTGATCTAATCAGGTGATAATACATATAGGTCTTCCAATGGACAGACAAACCATGCTCGGGCCTTTGGGTGTGTTCCCAAATCTGGGAGGTTTGTCTTGCAGTTTATTCTGATAAATCCAGTGGTGAGAAAGTAAGGAAAAAGAGGAAAGAGAAAAAAGAGTCAATATAATGGAAATACGTGTACTTACAGCCTCTGAATTCTTGTTTTGTTGTACTGGATTTGTTACTTTGGTGGCAAAACTAAAAGTAATGGTACTGCAAGAGTTCTTCCCTTCCTCGCTCAGAGGAACAGGATAGCAACAATCGCCGTGGGGACTGATTCACTTCTAGTTGGTAGACCCCCTTTTCACAATGTGATTCTACAAGTAAAGGAAATTATAAGAGCTTTTCTTGGGGGTACTGTACTATGTAAGGAACCTCGCCAAAGTTGCCTATGTAATAGGTGCCAAAATTAAGATTTCTTTGCACTTTGACTAATTTCTTAGAAATATTCCGAAGCTCTTCAAAAGAATTTCCTGCTGTTATTTCAGTATGATGGCTGTGGTATGTGTAAACATACAAGAAGGGAAAATAATTTCAGGTCTAATAAGCAAGGTTTCCTTGGCCAGAAGGCAACATACCTTACACTGGAGTTCACTATCGGCAAGACTGTTGTATGCGAAATTGGATTTGCTAAGTTGTCATTCCATATACTCAGTATCAATCATCGGTTGTCAGTGAACTATGAAATGTTCCAACTGGAATATGAGATTTGCCAACTCTATTTAAGCACATTCCAGGTAAAAAGATTAAGCTATTTTCATCTAAGAAAACAAGGTAAAGGTGTTAAGGATATACTGGTTAAAAATGGCAGACTCGGCTGCTCTGATCTGCCTTTTCAGCTCTAGCAGTAATTAGAGTGATTCAGCGACAAAAGATTATCATTTAAAAATTGACCATTGTGGTCAGGTATTCTCCTGTGACATTTATGATTACAACTATATACGTTAAAAGAAAAAAAAAAGTGTTCAGTTTATGTTTACCAAGAACAAATAGTTCAAGATTAAAGAGCATACAATAGGATAAAGAATGCTCCAAAGCTTTTTCTCCCTTTTGTTCTTTCACCCTTTTTAAAATTATATTGGCTCATAATTTTGTGATATTGTAACAATGGGGTTTTATCATCACTTTGTTAATTTTTTTGAGCTGGATGGTTGGTTATGCTAGGAATAGGCAATAAGCTGTCTTACTGCTATGTTTATTTTAATGCAAAATTTTTTTCTTTTCCTGTCTCTCTTGTCAGTATATTTTGCCAAAATAAAATAATATTAATTTTCTTAAAGGGAGTTAAATACAGTGGGTCTGGAGAGGTATACCTTACGTTTTGGATGTTTTCTAATAACTTTTATTCCCCTAAACCAGCAAATGAATACTGTCCTGCTGTGAAGAGTAGGTTAAGTTATATTTGTGTATTTGTGTTAAGTATTACTTTAAAGCTTAAGATGTCATTGTTTTAGAATCTGGAGGTGATTTTTGTTAAGTGAAATTCTTTCATTTCCCTAACACTGATTGGGCCAACTAGTTCTAAGCAAGCAGAGCTCGTACCCAATCCATCTTTATCGTAACTGGTAATAAAGAACCCTCTAGGCTTGACATATTGTCATGACTACTATTCTCAAGACATTATATAGCGGTTGTATCTGTCAGCCCATGCAGTATGGAATATTTTAACTGGCAGTCTTCCAAGAGTGAGCATTAATCTTAGCACCTCTTCTTACAGTCCCTAATCAAGATATTCCAGGGGTGATTGCACTAACATTGTTTGAAGACTACATCTACTGGACAGATGGGAAAACCAAGTCGCTCAGCCGTGCCCACAAAACCTCTGGATCAGACAGACTATCACTGATTAACTCATGGCATACCATAACGGACATCCAGGTGTATCATTCTTATAGGCAACCTGATGGTAATTATTCTGTCTATGCTTTCTGTACAGCATATTGATGTATTTCACTTAGTAGCCAGTTGCTGAGTTAATGGAAGCTCATTTCTCTGCAGTGATTTATTTTTATTTGTTTTGTTTCAAATTGTGGAAGTTTTCAAATTAGCATTTCTAAACATAAATCTGTGATTAATGTTGTAAGTATATCTGGTATTAAATAGATGTGGTGTATCTTGTTCAGTGGCGAGATACCAGTTTGGGTGTTTAAAAGTTAACCCAGATACTGGAAGTACAGAGCTGTTAAGTTGCATTACAGTCCAAGTTACCAGTTATCAAGATGGGAACAGTGTGTTATGAAAACATTTAACCTTATTATTTGCAAAAGAAGACAGAGTTAAAAATACCAAAGAATCCCGTTATTTAGAAAATTGTTGGACTGAGGGAATGTCAGAGAATGTAGGCGTTACTATTGTGTCTGATCTCCTGATGTCCCTGTATTTGAATGTAACTGAATACAATTTGGCATTTGACCTAGATAAGCTAATTTTTTGTCTCATTATAAAAAAAAAAAAAAAATCAACTAGTGCTTTTTTCTTCTTCTCATTCTTTCAGTATTGAATCTACATCCATAGTAATAATTAATTTTTGCATACAACAGAGAATAGCTTAAAGGCAAAAGGAAAAGGTTGCCTCTTACAGGTTTTTGATTTGAGATGTTCCATTGTAAAAATAGTATGTGTAATACATTTTTCTTCCGCTATAAAGCAGATACGCTGAAGTATACTGAAATAATAGGCCCTGATATTCTTTTCCTATTCTGTCCACAGTGTCTAAACATCTGTGTACGCTAAACAATGGTGGTTGCAGTCATTTATGCCTTCTAGCCCCTGACAAGATGTATACTTGTGCCTGTCCCACTAACTTTTACCTTGCTGCGGATAACAAGACATGCTTATCCAACTGCACTGCCAGTCAGGTAAATGCATACATATGGGGGACAGGGGAATGGGGATTCTATTTTCCTGTTTCCACCTGCTTTTAAATAATGAATGCTGGTGCCTGTGAAATGTGGAAGCATCAGTCAAAGAAGCTGAAGACTGGGTAACTCACGGGTGTGTTTAAAGCGTTTCATCTTCAAAGGTGTTAGTTGAAAATAGACTTGCAAATGCCTTTTTTCTAGAGAATGCAGAACTTGTTCCCTTTCAAATGTTTCTGCCAGTTACTAGAACAAATACAGCAACTAAACCCATAAAATTGCTTTGAAAAAATGTTTGTATAATACATGAAACATAAAAGTAGAAAGTGTATATAACAATGATACAAAGTGTATATAACAATGATTTGGGAGTATTCATGCATGAATGAACTTTACATTAATACAAGAAAACAAGCTCAGTCCAGTTAGCTAGGTAGGTAATCGGTAGGATTACATTAAAAAACAATTCAGTAGCTGAAATGGAAATAGTGGCATATGCAATTAATTAACAATTGCATCAATTAAACCATTGAATTCTTTATGGGAGGTGGGTTCCCTCGTACTTGAAATAAATATTTGGTGATTTTTTTTCTTAAAATATAAGTTAGATTAAGTAGAACATACTGGTTTTTTATAAGAAAGCCACTTTGATAAAAGACTTTGGACTGTTCTACCCAGACAATTAATTGGTTGATTGTAATAGTACATATGGCCTTTAAAAATCTTTCTAGTAGTCCAGCTTTCTAGTAGTCCGCTTTTATTATATGTATGCTAATGACCTCTTACGATGTTCTACATCATGATGCATTTTGTCTGTACTCATTAAGGAAAGGGTTTTACTTTTAATTTTTAGGGAACAGTGGTCATTTTAATAAACGATGCACAGTTTCATTCAAGTAATATTGTTATTTAAGAAACCTTCCCACTGTCTTCCTCTGTTCCCCTAGGATAGTGTTTGGTGTGATTTTTATGATGTTCATCATATCTTTTCTGTTTGAGTTGTCTGCTTGTTACTTCCCATTAAGGGATGAACAAAAAGAAAGTGTAAAACACCTGTAAAATGAGCAATTTCTTACCCATTTCCTGCCCCCCGCCCCCCCCAATCTGGCTTCTCAAATTTGTTTGGTTAAAAAAACAGCATTTTTTTTCTTTTTTAAAATTTTCTTTAAATGGCACTGGAAGCTTATTCCACAGTAAATTTGTATGCCAACAGTTGATTGAATGGCTCTATTCCTTTCTAACTAATGCACTGATAGTCTGAATTGAAGGATAGCATCACGTCTTGGATCCTCCAGGAGCTGTATTTTATCACTTGTGGATTCCATAGGAGGGAGAGCAAGGTTAGACAGAAGAAGCTGCTTCAGACAGAGTTACAAGTTGACATTGGTTATTAGTCATTTTCTTCCAATTTTGAAATCGGTTCACTGTTTGCTAATTTGTCAATCTGATGGCATCAGGCTCTAGAACACCAAAGCTCAGGCCATTCCAGGCACACCCATATGACTTGGACCCCTCAGTCTGCAAAGCGTCTGGCTCCCCAGTTTAGAAGGAAATGGAAGCATTTTCATGCAGAGAATAATAGCATCTAAGAGTTAGTACCCTTTTCCTGGGATTAAATTCATAATGTCATTTTAACAGCCTGAAGTCCCTTGTGGCCAGCAGGGTGAGGCTGGCACCTTAAAACAAGCGGCAGGAAGGCCATGCTAGCAAGTAGAAAATACTAAAAATGAGAATTGTCTGAGTTTCTGTTTGGCTGCTACTTTTGGAGGCCTTCTGCTGGGCTACGCGGAGATGCTTGCCTTTGTGGAACAGTTTAGCAGTTTAGAACTTTCAAAACCAACCTGTTGTACAGCATGTCCCTCAGTGTGCTACAAGAATAATGTAGCTCCTACATAAGTGGCCATGAAACCTTAAATTTTCTTGGCAGGAAAGGTAAAACTGAGCTAATGCACCAAATTTAATATAACTTTTAAATACAGCTTTATCGAATAATCAATGATTTTAAAAATGTGAAGAAATGAAAATATTGTGCCTAGTCACAGAAAATAAAATGTCTTGCACTTCTAAACCTGTTGATTTCCTTCCTTTCTGTGCTCATACAGACACCAGGTAGTACTTTCTACTCTTTGTTTTGTTTGCATTCTTCTTTCAGTCAGAACAACGGTACAGTGTTGCCTGAGCTCAGAGTAAAGGCACTGCCAAAGTCTTAGAAAGGATTTTTTTTTTGTACAAATAGCTTATCCTTTTGAAAGGTTGGAAGACCTAGCTTCTGGTTTTCTCATTCAATTCAAACAATATAAGCAATACTGTGTACAAGTACGACACCGCATGTTAAAGCTCTTTTCTGTAACTGGGTGTTTTGTTTTTTTCTGGAAAAATGATATTAAGTCCGCTTCAACAGCCTACAAAGACTGTTTAAGAATTGAAGTGGTTGTTTTGAATAAGATCGGAAAGAATCAAATCATAGAATGCAGCAAAATGCAATGAGTGGTTTATATCGGGGCACTATAAGTCAGTGTAGCCATGTCATTGAAACTACAGTGATTTGTCTCAGTGGAAGTCTCAGTGCAAAGCATCTCCAAAAAAAGAATATTTAACAAATAAGTTTTATAAAAGTAACAGCCAGAGTTGTTTAAAGGAACAATAACTTAAGCAGTGAACCTAATTTTTCATAAACTGTACTATTTCTGTAAAAACAAATAAATATTCATATTAAAGCTTTTCTTCCTTCTTTCCTTCCTTTTACAGTTCCGTTGCAAAACTGACAAATGTATTCCATTCTGGTGGAAATGTGACACTGTCGATGACTGCGGAGATGGTTCTGATGAGCCTGA